TACTTGAGATAGGATGACCTTCCGACGTAGTCTTTGAAGAAGTCTTCGTGAGCGGTAATGTCCCCCTCTTGATAGAAGTCGAAGCTGAAAAACAGCGTAAAGTTGCCGCCGGCGGCAATGGCTGCATCAAAGAGTTGGGTCGCCGCATCCACGGCCCACGAGGCGCCCGGTGCTCCGACGTTGAGTGCAAAGGCATCAAAGCCAGCCGCCTGTGCATCGTCTATGTCCATCTGCGCATGACCAAGGGATGCGTCAAGACCGCTGAGCTAGCAGTTCAGATGAGGTCAGTACACGCACCTGCATAGAAAACAAGAGCCATCCGGGAGGAGCTGTTTGCTACGCACTAGGTAGTGGGCAAAGACCATCCGGGCGTCTGCAACACTCAGCAGACTAGACGCCGTCGCCAGGACGGCGAGAGCTGAGGCTGCCCCGCAAAGCATGATGGACCCTGAAGAAAGGTATGTAAGGAATGGAATATGGCGAGTACCAAATGAAGCAAGAAAACTTCAAGAAGAAGAAGAAGGAAGCATACGAAGTGAGCTAAGAGTGACGGCTTCAGAGCGAAGCATCGTCTTCATATCTTATGGCCGCATCGGCGTTGCATGTGTAAATTCAACTCGCACTAGAAGCGCATGTAATCAAATAGTGAGGTGGTGTATTAGTGAGGCATCGCGTGATTAGAGGGTCTCGCGTTCGCCCGTTGTTATCAGAATGTTCGCTGGCACCAGATCCTTGGGCGTTTCACCATGAGGAGCGGGCCGCCGAGCAATCCTTCTCTCGCGCAAGAACAGTCTAGTATACGCTTCCGGTCCGATTCATTGTGTAAGGTACCCGTCCGGGAGATCATGAGGATGGACTTGCCTTACAGCACCCGCTTCTCTACCGCTGCGATTCCACGAGGCGTGTACAGTATAATAAGGGACCGTTTGTACCCACTTTGGTAACCCACGATCGGGTATTCCGATCAGATCATGTAGAGCTTGTCGGGCCCGCCAGGAACCCCGTTTCATTAACCAGTCTCGCCAGTGCAGCTGCAAACCGGTTCAGCAGGTAGATAGAACTAGATAGAACGGCATTTAAGAGAGAAACGCGCCCAATCAGAATGTCTGCGGACCGACTCCCAGAAACAGCATACAAGTATGCCGCCAACGTGCGTTTCTGGCTTGATCTCATCGAAGAACCACATCCCGGCTACCTATCGAAATGAACACGATAATTCTTCATTGGAAGAGCTTTAGGTAGGTACCTATTTGAGCACGGCGTAGCGTGGCTTGCGCAATGAGTTTATTTTACACCGAGGTCTCGGGCTGTGCAATTGCTTTTTTGGATCTCATGAGCTTTGGTGCGTTTCCCTCATCCTAAATATACGTGTATTCTTGGCAGATAAGGAAACAGGGTGAGGCGGAAATTATTGATGGGATGCTCGCTCCCTTGCGTCTATACGCACGGCCGCTGCTTGTCGTTCTGGGATAAACCTGCAAAACAATTAATTGCCAAACCATTACCAATTTGTAGCAGGTTTAGCTTTCGTGAGGCTTCCGCGCGACAATTCAGAGGCAATTGGGCGAGTGGAGCCTTTATGTATTTGGGCTGTGTGTGCAAGTCAGGATGTGAATGATGCCAGGCAAGCTACGAGTCAGGTCTGTCTAATCTTGTTGGTGCTGAGAGCGATAGGTTAATAACTGCACTTCCTTACTTGACGAGCCAAAGAGTCATCTTTTAAGTCGGGTAATCTAGCAAGGGAGAAGGGGACCAAATATATGTACTGTACCTACCTTAGTATTCTACTGTTCCTATGTCTCTCAGGTAGAGGGGTCTATCGCGCACCAACTATCAGGGCGGGATGCAGCGTTGGAAAAACACACAAAAACACCGACAGAGCTGTAGAACACCGCAAACGAAAAACACGCACTTGGAAATAAGTACCAAACGCACCAACCACGCATACCTGTGGCCACAGACCCAAATAGCAGCAGGTGACACAGGCAAAAGAAGTGAGCGATGGAGATGGCTTCGGACGTGTCGGGTTCGTATTTGGAGACATTTGGGATTTGGGTCTACCTTAACCTACCTATACGTCTAGTCAGCTGTAGCCATTCTCATACCTATTCCCTGATAAATCAGTCATCTGTGCAGGTGCAGCATTCTAAGATCTAGTTCTCAGCTGCTGCTACCTCGCTGTATTTGTTCATTGGTGAGAGGTTTGGTGTTTGTCTCAGATGGACCACCCAATTAATAAGTGCGGCCTGCCACGTTAGGCACCAGCCCGCTACACTGCGTGATTGGGAGGTGGCTTCACCTTAAAGTCATGGTCAAACCACTCTGGATTTTACGAAATCCCAATCGCTGCTCCCACCATCCGTCTCAAGGAGTACCTGGCCTCACATAAAGCAGATCTGGCATCGCCATCACATACCACGGGTGTGATTAGGTAGCCATGGGGCAACGACACCAACTCTTCGCCATCGCCAAGATTGGCAATCGCTTCCGCAGTCTTGCTGCTCTCCACCATCAGTGGCTTTACGGACAGGCAGCCATAAAGAGTATGTTTTCATGCGGATCAAACCGAATAGAAGGGTGCTGGGTGCTAATGTTTTATACAGGCTGCGCGAAGCTGATCACGATATTCCAGGAACAGAAGAATCACCCTTTGTTGAGATACGAACTACAACTCGCAGCTACCCTACCCCAAGAGAAATGGGAAGAGGAGGTTACCGACTGGCAAGATCAGAGGGCATTATTCCCATTCATCGCTACATGTCTCATGTTCGGGGCCTCGTTTGATCCTTCTTCCGGCACTGGTTCAAACGTCGCGCCGCTCCCTTTCAATACGCCATACGATGGGGGAGATAATAACGACGGCGTCACAATCCTTGACATCACCGATCCGTCCTCTGTTCGTTATGCTTTTGTTTTCCCTGAGCTACGGTTTGTAGACAGCGGCTCGGTCGCGTTCCGCTGCACTCCCCTTACTGGTGCTGAGTATGCCTGCTTTTATTCGCCGAGGTTGGAAGGGGAGGACGTTGAAGAAGGTAATCGACAGATGCGCTTGGCACAGCTTCTACGCAGCCAGAAAGCCATAGACACAGTCTTGACAGGTCCATCATCCCCTGTCACGGCCCGTCTGATTGACGATAAAACCCTGGACAGCGCCTGGCCCGGTACCTGGTATTCAAGAGCAGAGTGCGAGCTTCCTGTGGACCCAGAAGTCTATAATCCACCTGACCATATCACCACTTTGGTCAACAGCACTGCACTCCAGGAGAAGTATGAAGCATTCCAAAGGGCAGATGAGGTTTTCGCATCAGATTATGTGGAGGAGTTCCGCAAATATCATCCAATGCCCATCAAGCAGATCATCCACGTCGCAACGAACGAAGACACAGACGACGAAACCATTCTACAACTATCCAAGACAGACACAAGTAGAGGCATGGATATTTCACTCGCCACCCTTCCACTGGACGATACACGACTATCTTCCGCAGCAGCTCTACAAGGACTTTATACATGGATACACTCCCTATCATTCGATTCCTTGGGGATGCTGGACTCCTTCTCATTCGCACAAATGGGCTACCCCTCATCGCAAAGTCTCATCAAGTCATTCGGCCTAGATGGTCCGGATTTCAATGTCGTCAAGCCGGTCCCAGCGACTGCATTTCGACGAACTAGAGATTGTTATCATTCTAGTATTGACTGGCTGACAGCACAGATGGAGGATATCAAGCCGTGCGAATGGACCATCATAGTGCATGAGCGTTGGGAAAGACACACTGTCGATTCCCGATGTACAAGTGAAGCTCCGCCTTCCCTTACCAAGCACAAGGAAATAGAGATCGGCTTCGTGACACGTCGTGAGTCAAGTCAGCTCGCTGTAGTCAGTGCCAGAGAATTTCATGAGGAACTAGGCTCGAAGGGACTTAACGGTGAGGCCTTGGCCTGGAGCAACGATGAAGGGTTCTATGGCAAAGAGCTCATTGAGGCTCTAGAAAGAGAAGGCGGGCAGGTTGGCGAGATTCCGATCACAGCAATGGGAGTTGACAGAGCACGGTGCATTATCGATGCTTGTGTGACGCGTGGAGCATTCGAGAAAGAGAAATTCTCAGTGAGCGAGTGGTTGCTTCACCATCGAGCTGACTACCGACGTCGCGCCAAACGGATGGAAAAGGCGCAGTCTTCGGAAGAAACTAAACCTGATCAGAACACCTCTAGCTCTTGATGATTTGGGATGGTCTGGCCTTTGAGAATCAAGGTAGACTGAGGGGCTTCACCACTGAGAGAAGAGGATAATATTTTACGCGACGATCACAATGCGTCAAGAGCGCTTTGAATGTTGGGAGACGCTCACAATGCACGCACGTCAGTAGATCGGTAGTGCTTAGTTAGAAAGCAATGACAATTGTATTCCATGACAACTGTGTGCCCCTGAGTTATATACTACACGTAGAGTCATTTCCATTGTGCTCTAGAAGATTATTCTTGCTTGCTTGGGAATTTCGAATTGCCACGGCAATGATGTTGCTTTGGAAGATGCGGCTTTGCATCAAAAGACTTAGATCTGGCAGCGTCTCTGGAATGGGTGATGCAAGGAGAGAAAATTCCTAGTGCCTGAAACAACAACAACATTGCATACCCTACTGCTCTTATAAACCCTGTCCTTATTCTGTTTTCGGTCTGGAGGATAAGGCAAAGAGAATTGCATGAGATGTTTCGCGAGTTCAGCCGGCCCTTCGACAACATGCTCCAAGTGCTGCCATCAGCTGCTGCATCCATCTTTCTACGAAGTCTAACGAAGACAAAACCTGGACAATCCTAGTGAGTCCGCTCAAGCCCGCAAAAGCAATGCTGTCTTTCCGTCGCGGTTGCCTGGCAGCCCAAACAGCAGCAACAGCATGGTATCTTATCGACCCAGGTGTTATCAATCATGCCCAATGAGGCAACACATTTTGTGCCAGCGTCATAGCGTTTGAAATGTGACCTCATCAATAGGCAAGTTCGGTCGGATAGTGTAAAGGTGATCACATCGGATTCTGATTGTACCTATTTTCCGGGAATCTGGGTTCGAGTCCCAGTCCGACCTTCTCCGTTTTAGTCTCTTTTTTCAGTGAGTTGTTCAGAATAATAGCACGACCATGCTACGAAGTCTGGTAGTATATATATAATATAATAGCCTTCTTTCTGTCTCTTATCAGGTCTCTTATAGTTTGCTGGTCCATCGACAACTCCCTGCATAGTCCTACCGTCGTGTGGGACATTGAGAACCAGAACATCACTAATATCGAACCTTCTAATGGCCTGGAGATGACACATCTCATGGCAAAAGAGTCAATTACGTGGCTTCTCCGAGGTCTGTCAGCTCAAAAGGATATAGTCCCTGTTTTCAATGCCCATTCCAAACAACCTATGGCTCGCGGAGGTTTAGTACTACTTCAAATAGCAACTATGTTACACTCAAGACCTTCGGAATTGGCACACACATGCCTTTCAATCATATATCAATAATGGTTATGACTCTTGCATGCAGAAGCACTAACACAGGAGAACACAGCACGTTCCATTGTCAACAATAGATTTTACCTGGGGAATCCATGTCGAAAACAGTCGTAAATGCCGTCAAGAATCGGCACTCTCTCTCGGGCGCGGCACCAAATGTCCTGTCTTTGTCGAGCGCTGAACAGAGACCATGTATGCAACTAAGGATCTACAGGTGTAATCAAGCTAATAATACAAGGACACCATAACAGCCTAATTAAAATATAGATCGTGCATGACAAAGTAGCAATCGTTGCTTGGCACCCCCGTCGAGGGTGATCTCATCAGATCGTGCCCGCGAGTCGACGAACCGGGAATGTAGAAGAGAACAATGAAAGGAAAGAAAATGATCACTCCCCTAGCACGTATCAAAACCCAAGCAAATCACACACTCCGCCCCAATTCCCCATCCCACTCCTCACCACCTAGGCCTAAAAGCCGTAGCCAGCGTCGTAGCCGGCGGCTCCGGCTCAAGCGTACTCATCGCACTCCCCATATCAGGGAAAATAGCAACCTGATCAACCCCAACAACATTCTGCTCCGCAGTCCCCAGCGAAAACGTGAAACTCAACTCGAACAGCTTCTCCTCAGAAGTATACGGAATAACGACCTGTGTCCAATCGCCCAGCTCATCTCTCGCCACACCGCCCTCCTCGATCCCACTGAAATTCCCTCCTGGTCCGTACTCGGTAGCGGAAATCGTCTGGATCGTCTTCTGATTATCGGACAGCATGACATACGCCGCGTTTCGCGCCGCGAAACGGATGAAGAATGATATTGTGAGGTGCGCGCCTGGGCGAGAGAACACGAGGTCGGAGCGGAGGACGAGGTTGGCGCGCAGATTCTGCGTTAGGCCGTTCTCGGTCATGTTCACGGAGAAGGCGGTGCAGGATTGGTTGGCGCCTGGTGTGTCTAGGGCGTATGAGGTGTCGAAGAGGTCGATTAGGACGATGGACCAGGGGTTTAGGCCCATCTCGAAGTCGCCGTTGTCCAGGATTCCGGTGTCGATTGAGGGGGAGTAGCATACTGATGAGGTGGGAGATGACGCCCCGGATGAACGCGTTGGGGAGGGCATGCTTGTTATGGTAATTGGAGAAGGTGTGAAGGACGTGTTTGGGGGTCCAGATGTCGTGGAGAGTGAGGATGTGGATGAGGCAGTCAAAGACGACGAGATTGTGTTCGTTGGTACGCCACTCGATGGAAGAGTTGAAGTTGTAAAGGTCGATGAGGGTCCAGTGTTGGCGCTGCTGATAGACGACGTGGCGACGCTTTGCATTGAGGATAAGGATTGATTTCCCGTCGCCGTTGAGGAAGTGACTTGGGACTGGGAGTTCGACCACGGAGATGAGCTAGTTACCGGAGCGGAGCTTGATGGGTTTGTCATAGTGTTGCTCATCGACGTGCTATTTCCTCCAGCCATGATGCTGCTTGTTGACGTGTTGCTGCTCCCAGATTGTGTGGTAGACGACATCGGTGGCGTAAGCGAAGTCATTGTTAGTGTATCAGTGAGAGTCGAGGATGTCGTGGATGGGATTGAGCTGGGTAGCATGCTACTATTTCCAGACATTGTTGCAGATGATACAATCGATGACGGCGAGCTGGTTGTGACTGTGCCAGTCATACTAGTACTTGCAGGTGTACTACTACTGGGCCCTGAGCTTGTAGAAACAGACTCGGTCATAGCACTGCTCGTGGTTATCGTATTGTTTCCAGACGCCGAAGTAGACGATATTATTGATGACAGCGAGCTCGCTGTGATAGTACCTGTTGTACTACTCATTGCAGACGTGACATTGCTCGATGTTGAAGTGGTCGGGGCAGAAATGGTTACACTTCCACTTGTGGACACACTGCTGTTACTAGAACTCGAAGTTGGTGATATCGTTGGAGAAAATGTGCTCACTGTTGTCATATTAGTAGGACTGCTGCTCATCACAGTAGTGTTGCTTGGAATCGAGCTGGTTGGCGTCGAGCCTGTCGTGCTACTTGTTAATGATACGCTATTGTTTCCAGATCCTGAGGAGGAAGAAATTGTCGACACGGCCGAGACGGTTGACGTGCTGTTGGTGAATCTCGAACTAGTGGGAACTGAACTGGTCAAAGAGGTCCCCGTTATTGTGTTGTTTCCGCCGGATTGTGATGATGTAGGCATTGAATTTGTCACGCTACTACTACTCGTCACCGTGCTATTACCTGCCGATCGCCACGTAGTAGTCGGCATTGTGAAAGTCATCCTGCTACTCGTCATTGTACTGTTGCCTCCAGATATCGTTGACAACGATAGAGAATTCATCGTCATGGAAGTGTTTGCGGCATTACTTGATGTGACAGGAGTCCCCGTCGTTGTCGGCAGCTGAGGTGTTCCTGTGGCTGTAGATGATGTCGGGACGCTAGTCACAAGAGCGGACGTTGTAGACGGTAGAGTTGAAACGGCATCTGAATTAGATGAGATACTGGAGCTTGGGATAGTTCCTGTAGAGGTGTTGGAAGCAGAAGTGATGGAGCTTGCTGTAACCGTGTCTGTCTGAGTGATGTTCATAGAACCACTCGATGACGAAGTCGATGTCGCTGGGATAGTTACTGAAGAGTTGAAAGCAGAGGTGACGGAGTCCGTTGGCACAGTGTTTGTCGTAGTAATATTCACGGGGCTACTTGATGACGAAGCAGTTATTGTTGGGATAGTGCCTGAAGAGTTGAAAGCAGAGGTTTGGGAGCTCGCCGTGGCAGTGTCTGTCATAGTTCCAGAAGAGTTGAGAGCAGAAGTGATGGAGTCCGTAGGTAGAGTGCCCGTCGTAGTGATGTTCATGGGACTACTTGATGAAGAAGCAGTTATTGTTGCTGGTACACTGGAGTTTAATGAGCTCGTAGAACTAGCTCCTGTTTGTGTACTAGCGGAAGCTGACGATTGACTGCTAGTGATATTTCCACTGACCGAACTTGTCGAGATAGTCGAGGTGGTTGTAGGCGTACTTGTTTCCGAACTTGTGCCTGACATCGCCCCTGAAGTGGTAGTCCCTATACTTGAGTTAGTTGACGTGAAGCCATCTTGCGGCCGGGGCTTGTCACCTATTGAGGTACCGGTAACCGGCATCGTCGCTGATGAGTTCGATGCAGTGCCTGAGGTAAGACTTGACAATGTTGTCAATCCGGTCGTTGAGCTGAGGGTCCTAGATGTGCTACTGAGAGCTGTCATCATGGAGGTAGCCGTGTCCGTTGCATTAGCATTGCTTGAGAAACTTGAGCTGGGAGTCAGTGTCATAATTGTGGCCGAGGAGTCAGTTATTCCAGGTGAACTCGAAAGCAGGCTACCAGAAGAGGTGGATAATCCTGGAGATACTGGCGAGGAAGTCAAAGCCATTGTCGTCGAGTTTCCTGCTCCAGAGGACGCCGTAGATGTTTGATTCCCCGTGCTTGGGCTTGTTGTACTCGTCGGGGTAAGCGAGGAGCTACTTATGGGAACTGACGTAGTACTCAATGAAGAACTCGATGGCATTCCGCTCGAAGTAGATATGGGCGGCAGGTCTGTCCACCCAGTGCTCGAAGCAGATTGCGTCGATTCCGACGGTGTGGAGCTGGAACCAGGGGCTACAGAACTGCTGCTTGATGATGGTGGCCCAGGATAGCCGTATGGTATTGGGTAGTTAGGCCCAAGCGTGCTGCTTGAGCTCACAACCGGTGGCTCTACTGAGCTACTAGGAGATGGAATCATGGTCGAAGTGCAATTGGGACCACATCTACACGCCTCAATGTAGGTCCATTTGCTGAAGCCGCAGGCCGCCGTTGCCTGTACGGGAAAGTCATTGCCTCCGTATAGTCCAACGGTTTGGCAGTATGTGATTGCTTCCGAGAAAGCTGTGCTATTGTCACATGGAAACAGAGCGCTTTGACATCTAAACTCCTCGCATTAGTCTCGTAGTAGTCAGAAGAACCTGTCAACGTTCCGTCATAGTCCTTACTTTGGATCGACGTCATTGCATTGTGCCGTGACAAGAGTAGAGAATAAAAAGAGTGTTAGAACCCTCCATCTACCGAACTGGAAGGATGAGGCAGACATTGCTACAGGGTGACACGTGAAGCAATTGCCGTCTTTCAGTTTGGCTCAGAGTGTACAATAAACGAGCGACAGCTACCTCCAATGCGAATGTTAGTGATGGTCTCTCTAGAGCCTTCTATCACAAGATTAAAGATTGCTAAGATACTTATATGAGAGAGCGAAAGAGAAGCATAAGGATGTTTGCTTCCTCTGAATCCACCACAGACGACGGTACGCCCACCGGACCACAAATACTGCTCGACAACATGGATGCATGTCTGATGGCAATTTATCGTGGTGTGTTACGAGCAAGGCGAGTTCGGGTGATACGAAATATCCAATAGTCCAAACTGCCCTCGACACAAGTAGGCTTTGGTGACAGGTTTTAGGTCTCAAACAATTGCTTTCAGCTCTCGCCTGCCTTTACCTACCTTCTCATCTTTGCGACGAAGAAGAGCGAAGCAGGGGTGTGGACGACGATTTGGGTTGTCGTACCTGAGACCTCGACGCATGCT